ACTGCTAAGTATGTCAGGATCCATGCCCACCAGGACCCGGGAGGTAAACAGATGTAAGGCTTAGGTCCCTGCCCTGGGAATTGTATAAGTCCAGGGCATCATTCATGACATTTTATTTGAATTCTGCCCCCTGGAGTTGTACAGTAAAACCTTGGGGATCTGGGTTAACACAGATATGTAGTCAGGTATAAGAGACAGTCAGGGTAGGAATATAGAAAGGGAGCAATTAGTTCTGCCCAAACCAGAAATTTGTATAGAGAACTTTAAATTTTCTTATCTGAAAACACCTCCTTTTATGTATTTTTGGGAGAAAAAAAGTTAAGGATGTACTTTTTTTTTTAAGGTAACATATTTCTTTGCAGCTTTAGATAACAAAGGTGTTTGAAAAATGTTGCTCTATGGCTTACACAGAGGTGTTTTCCTCTGACATACTTTGTTTATCCAAAAGCTCTATTTTCACAACAGTTCTTGCCAATTAGTGGAGATTCTTCTGAGATTTTAGGTTCACTTAAAGCTCTCTCTCTTTCTTTCTGTGTGTGTGTGTTTCCGAGTAACAACTTTTGAACTGGAATAACAACAAATTTTTTTTCAAAGTTGCTAGGGGCATAGCTCACTGGCAGGTGGTAAGGATTCCAGCTCCCCAGAGCTATGTGCCTATTATCACAACTGTGGAGAAAACTCACTGAATAGTGTGGCAGTCTTAAACATAGGGAAGAACTTTATGATAAACATTATTATGTGTATATATATTTTTTCTTTTTGCTGAGTTGGGGATTGAACCAACGGGCCTTGTAACGAGCCTTACACGTTAGGGCCACTGAACTACATCCTCTGCCCCTGTATGACTATTTTTGTGACAGAGGCTTTCTCAGATTCCTGGGAGGCCACAATTGGCTGAGCTACTGTCTGATTAACAGTGCCCCGTGCAACAAGTGGGTCATAACTCGCTCTTGGTCTCAGTTGGTAGGGCATAATCTCTCCCCTAGGTTTGTAAAGCCAACGTGCCAATCTTGAACTGGCTTCCTCTTTTTGCAAACACTGTGGAAACATGATCCATTTGCTCCGGTCTGAGAGGGTCAGAGAGCTATAACCCAAGACTGGATAAAAGGGATCTGGACGATGCTTGACCACCTAGGAAGAAGACCTAAAGCAAAATGTTCACATTGCTGGCTGCTCCACAACAGGGGACAGTCTATATAGCTCCTTGCTGTTTGTGCAGGGCCTGCCAAATATTTCTGCAAAATACTTAACTTCTTGCATCCCATTGCTTGAGCATGTTGCTGGTGTTTTTGCTGAGGAAGCTGGCCATTCAGTAGCTCCCTGCACCACAATTGGCAGCTTGTCTTCAATTTGTCTCACTTCTGCTGTCTGAGGACTGAACTCTGAACCTGTGCACTCCACTCCCTAGGACGTGGGATGTACACTCATGCCCTCCAGCCTCTTCCTCCAGCAGCTGCCAAAGAGAACTTTACAGCAAAGATGCTAGGAATTCAACTCCTAGGGCAGCTGGAGATGTGGATCTCCACATTCTAGGTGCACAAAGCTTCAGGCCTTAGTGGCCAAGAGAAGCTGAGACACCCAGCCAACCACATGAATGTTCATTTTCTGTGGCTGAGGGTGATTGCCCACCGTGCACCTGGAGAAAATAATACAGCCCAGATTGGTACTTATCCTGTCTGAGTTTTTTAGAATGGCCAGATGTGAGAGACTCATCACAATGTAGTCTTAGCTTGTCAAGATATTTGCCAGGTCACTATGGACAAGTGTTTGACTTGTTATTTCTCAAGCTGCTTCCTCCTAAACTATAAGTTGAATGATATGAAATTGTGCTTTTTTTTTTTTTTTTTTTTGGATTCTGAGGATTGAACCCATGATACTCTACTACTGAGTCCCATTTCAGCCCTTTTTTATTTTATTTTTTATTTTGAGACGGGGCCTCACTAAGACATTAAGGCTGTCCTTGAACTTGTGATCCTCTTGTTTCAGCCTCCTAAGTAGCTGGGAGTACAGGCATGTGCTATCATGGAAAGTGCATAGGTCATATATTGCCCAGTTGTATATAATTCATCTTAAGAGCAAGGATCAACATGAATTAACAGTTTTGAATTGGCTTCCTATGTTCCAGGCCCTAGGAGGGGATTTACTTATGTCATCCCTCTAACTTTTTGTTCATGACATCACATCAAGGTGCTGGTATTATTATTATGTGCATTTTACAGATGACACTGCGGAGGTTCTGAAAGGCTAAGGAAGCTTCTCACAGGCTCAGTGAAGGCAGGTAAGACAGGATACCAGGCTTGCTTACCTCTAAGGCCTGGATATGTGTAGATTTTACTTAATAGAATCAATGGTAAGGACACAGTTGGTTCATTTAAACTAAAAAGGAATACCTGAAGCTATTCTTGTGAAATGGCATGAGAAAACATCCAAGTCACTCATATTTTGTTAGTGCTGTGGTTATATACAAACTCACTGAAATTTCCAATATTTTGCAACTGTTTTCTTTTGGAGATTTATCCTGTGCTATTTGTTTGTACTCTGTTCTCCAATTTTTGCGCCACTTACATGGTGAAACTCTCTGTGCTTTATTCTCTTCCTGAAATCATCTACTTAATGTTAGTTGAATCATCTGCGAAAATTTTTTTTCCATCCTTTGAGGCCCACTTTGAAGGCCTCTTGGTCCATGAGATTTTCTTGGCTCCCCTCCCCCAGAAATGTAAATGCTTTTGCTCTAACCTTCCCTAGACCCACGAATGCCTGCTCTGGACTTGCCACTTGGAGTACTACTATTGATATGACTATATGGACACTTAACTCATCTTCCCTCTAAAGCAGGGGTCAGGGCACACTTATTTTGTGAAGGAGCAAAGGACAAATATTTTATGCTTTTGCAGATCATTTGGTATCTACTCTAACTACTCCACTTGACTGTTGTATCTCAAAAGCAGCTGTAGAGGACATGTAAACGAACTCGAATGTTTGTGTTTCAATAAAACTTTATTAACAAAAAGTTGGTGGCAAGCTGGATTGGACTGTGGGTGCCTGTGTGCCAATCTCTGCCCTAGTTTATGGGTTTCTCAGTGAGAGTCATAGAATCTTCCTCACGCCTATTTTTTTGCATCATGCTGTGTGGTAAAATGGGCATCACTCATAAACTTTTGTAGGCTAAGTAGAATTTTTAACTGTTGGAATCAGAGATGCTTTTGTGCAAAGCTATTGTTGAGGCCCTGAGAACTCTACAGACTCCTCTCCACATGCAGTTACTGTCTGGACATGCAACGGAGCTGTCAGAACCTTTTGACCTGGGGCTGATTTTCCTGTAGGCTCAGGACCTTGTCTTGAAGCTTCAAAGGCAGGCTAACTTCTAAGGAACCATAAAAACACCATATTTTATCAACCCCCTCTCTTCAAATTCAGGGAAACACCTGTAAGGTTTATGGTAAAAGAAAGTCACCTTAGGCTGGGATTCTGCTCATGCAACAAAGGACACTATACAAAGTATTTTCTGATTTCAAAAAAAAAAAAAAAGGAAAAAGTGGGTTTCAGAGTAGGGGAGAAACCTACAAGACTTTTTCCCTTCACTGACTCAGCTGGTTAGTAAATTTGTGTGTGCATTGAAACAGAGAGTCTCTTGCCAAGTGGCTTCTTTCATGAATTTAGATGCAGAGTTATATGTGGGTAAGGCCTTCAGAGGCTTGTGTATCTGCTCATGGGGTTGAATCTCCAATACAATGGCTCAGAG